ACGACAACGACGAGGAGGATGAGGCCAGCGGAGAGGAGCACGACGACGACGAGGACGACGATGATCGAGAGGACATGGACAAGGACGAAGCAGACGAGTCATATCGGAGGCGGGGGGGGTCACTGAGGAGGTCCCAGGGGCCCGCCGGATCCCCAGCGCGGCTGAGACATGCCCGAAAAAAAACCGATGCTTGAGACTCCTCGACCTCGTCCTGACGAGCTGCCCCTATTCCTCCTCCCCCTTGCCCCCCTCGCCCCCTAGCCCCCACCCCTCTCGAACTGTTGATCCCCATCGTCGCCCCTCCCCTTCCGCCCCCGCAACCGCAGCCCATAAATGACACCTTGTCGCGCCGCCAAACGCGCCGCAGGCGCTTCGCTCCAGACTTCCCCGCGCCTCGCACCCCCGACGAATCTAATGCGCGACGGCTGCGCGGATGGGCGGGCCAGTCGCCGCCAAGCAGTACCTCTCATTGAAGCCGCGCTCATTGGTCGGGGGACTTAGCAGCCGCGGCGCGCGTGGATGGCAGCTCCTCTTCAAATTCTGGCGCTGGCTCGCGATGTCCCCGACGGGACTTTCTGCCCGAGACTCGCGCGCGCGCGGCGGGCGCGCGGGCGGAGAGCAGCCCCTTTGTTAACGCGCAGCTCTCGCTCGCGAAACGCGCCCCGTGATCGGATCGATCAACGCGCGCATGGGCTAGAAAGATGGAGGCGCATCGCGCGCCTCAGCCGGGGCCCGCCGACGCGGCGGGCCAGCGAGACGTCGACCGATGCGGCGCCGAGACCATCGAGCCCCCCCGCGGAATAATCATCTCTCATGCTCGCATGCTCGCCGACGCCTCATCCGCGGCCACCCTGGCCCAACGCGGCGCTTTCGCGCGCAAAGTTCCCGAGTGCATTCGAGACGCTTGCGTTCGAAAAGGTTCGATGCCCCGTGCTGGGCCGTTCTGGCGCACCGACTGCGCGTTCGACGCGTCTGATATTAATGGGGCATCCCAGGAGACAAGCGGAAGTGCTTCGATTCGCGGAAGGGACCAGTGGGAGCCCAATCGTCGGGGCCTCGCTTCGCCCGCCCGGCGCGGTAAAAGCGGCGAGGCCAAGGCGATGGTAGAAGGGTTCGCCCAATCATCTGTCCAACGACGACTGGGAACCGATGCGGCGAATCCAACTGCGGGCTCGACTGACGCCCCGACTGCGCGCGCCGAGCGCCGTGGCCAGACTTCCCCTGGGCGCGGCAGCGGACCCAGGCATCCCAGAATGCGCTCGAGGAACGGCGCGGGCATCAGCGGCAAGGCCGGGGTGAGTGGGCAGGCTGGCCTCGGCGGGGGCGCTTCTCAGGAGTCGGGCTGGAACGATTTGCAAAGGCAAACGCCGGAATCCCACTGGGACGGATTGCGCGCGCCGCCGCGCATCCACTTGGAGGCAGCGCGGCAAACCCACCCATGCACGTCGCTGGCGCAGCCGTGCATTGTTCCTGGCGCGGCACGGAATGGCGCGACGAAGCCTTCGCCCAGCTGCAGCGCCGGACGAGACTCTGGCAGCAGACAGGGGCGCGCAGGCAGCGCAGCTGCAGGCGCAGCCGCTACAGGCGCAGCCGCAACAGGCGCAGCCGCAGCAAGCACAGCCGCCGCAAGCGTAGCCGCAGGAAGCGCAGCAGCAAGAGGAAAAGCAAGTGCGGCAACATCCGCAAGATGATGATAGCCGCAATCAAGCTAACAGCAGCAGCAACTCCTACAAACGGAAACCGCCCACCAGCCCCACCAGCTGCGACGCCGGCAGAGGCGCCCTGCCCTGCTCAGACGCACAGGCGCAGAGAAATAATGCGCTCTCCCAGGGATTGATCCGCTTCCATTCTGCGCGGCCGAAGGGCGAGTGCGACGGCGACCGGGATCGCCGCAGCGAGCTCGGCCACGGGGCAGCCGAACCTACGCGGGGAGCAGTCAGAGAGCCCGAGCTCAACGAGCAACCGGGGGACTGATGCCAGCAGGTCACCAAGGAACTCGAGCCCCGGGAGCACCGCAAGGAACCCTTCGCGGGGAACAGGCGCCAGGCTCCGCTAGCAATGGCAGCTGCAGGCGCGCGTCTATAGGTCAAGGGCGCGGGAAGCAGAGGGGGCTGCCGCGCAAAAAGTCACCTGCGCGCGCTCATGGCGACCGACCGCTCGAGGCTGCAGTAACAGAGGCGACGGCAGTCGCCGCGGCCGAGAGGGGCACGAAAGCCCCGCGGTCCCATGCGTCAGACGACCCAGCAGCCTCACCGACGCGGCGCCAGGAGGATGGGCGCGCGGCATGGGGCGCGAGCGCGCGCGTAGAACAGAGCTCAGCTTCACGAGCTGGACAAGAGGCTCGCCTGTGCATCCGCTCGAGCCCATTGCCATGGGCTGCATTAGTGCTGTGCTGAGAGTGGTGCGCGGCGGCGTCGCCGCACGATGCGCCGCAAAATCATCGTCGACCATGCGCGCGGCACTGGCATCGCCATCTGCAATAAGATCGTTGGCCTGCGCACATGCACCATGCACTTGGCGACCCAAACGCATCAGTCCAGTGCTTATGTAGCCAGAAACGGGCCACATCAATGCACGTGGCTACTGTGCCGGCTCATGCACCAAACAACTATGTTAGTTAGCTCCATATACCCAAAAAGTCCTGTACAGACGTAGGTGTTTTCAAGCAAACTGCCAATACAATTGCATACCTGTAGTCGGTAACTCTTATGCACTGGTCTTCTACTCTACCGATATGAAGATACATGCATGTGTGATAACTCATACAACTCCACGTGGCAACTGTTCGCAGCTCTCAAAGGTCCCCCACGCGGCGTCAACCACCAACTGCCGAAGGCGGGCGTAAAACGACTTGCACAATCGCGGACCTCTGCGCTGGGCCAAGACCTTTCTACGTCGTTCGCAATGCAGACTTGCAACACCGAAGAAACTGCTCACGTTGTCAAGAGAGACGTCCATGACCTTGCCAATCGGCAACCCCTGTGCGGGAGCCTGGTTGATAAGTCAAGGTCGCTAATGCTGACGGGGGGCCACATGTGCGCCCATGAGCGTGGCTTCATGTGATGTGCGCGCATTAGAAACCATGGTTCCCGGTATGCCACGTGGCTTTCCTGCCCAACGCAAGTGGCGATATTTGTATCTATTATAACATGAAGCGCGCCCTGGTAACGCATCTCGTCTGGATATGGCAAGGGCCACCAACTCCATATTCTGGGGTCTTACCCCATTGCCTGAGTGGTGTCGGGCAAGGCATATATCGAGCCTACAACTCGGCCGCGTAGTAGCCAGGAAGATGAGACGCATCACGAGAAAAAGCCCGCCGTCGTTTGTAAGAGATGTTGGGAGTGGATTGGTCCCCTGCTGGCCCAACTGTCCAACTATCGGGCAGCATCGTGAACGACAAAGGCCTTAACTATAGGCATGGGTCCACCATGGCTGACGGAAAGGCAGAACATCAAACGATTGGCGAAATGTGGGCACCTGGGCTTCGAATGTGCCTCAGCCGCCCGAACCGCGTCCAAACAAATAGAAGCACGAAGCTACACAGTCGATATGTTCGCTTCTCCGAACCAACCGTGGCCAAGCTTGGTCGTATCCATGGCCGACCGATGGGCCAGAAAATGCACGGTGAGCCAAGCAGTATTTGCCAGATTGCACGCGGCATCTCGTTCAAGAGCTGCGCCGTCCCCGCCAACCCGTGTGCGGATGCGCGGGTTATCCCAGCAAGAAGGTACACCGACTGGTCCCACTACATTTTTGCATTTGGTGAGATTTTTCCCACAGTCAACCAACAGGGTAAGTTACGTCATCGTCCAGTTTGGCGCTAATATATCCCAACTGGGCGGCACCCAAAATGCATCTGCCCCGTCACATCCTAAAAGCATTCAAGAGCAACTGGCGTGTAACCCCGCAACCCCAAACAAAGCCGACCCCCACCACCACCAACCCTCCCTCACCTTATGCCCCATCCTCTTCCTCATTATTATTCATCGAAGCCCTTTTCTCCTCAGTGTCCTCCCCCTGTTGTCGTCTCATTGTTTTCCTCCTTCTCCCCTATTCTCGTCTCCTCATGGTACCATGTACTTCGCCGGGTTGCCTCCCATCCATGAACACATCTCAAACATTTGCGTTGCATATAAGGGTTGGTCGCATTGCTCGTCGCTTTTTGCAGCGGGCAACTGTTTGTTTAGGGATATCCGCTTCGTGTTATTTAGCTGATGCTACCAAACCCGATTGTTTCTCGCACGTGCGCATCCAAGGCAAACCATTGCGACGCAAGCTCACAATGCTCGGTGTTACGAAAATCTGTTTGCAACGCGCCACTTTTGGATGAGTACCCATTGCAGAGGGGTCCGCCGTCACCTGGCATTGCGGGGGTATGATGGTCGGCAGGTTTCCAGGCATCGTCGGCGTACACGGAAATGGAAGATTGTCGGCCCTGTTTACCATTTAGAAAGGTTGGGGTCTGACGTGTTTGCGGTTGCTGGTGCCAAGAAAAATCAATGTCGAGTGGTGGCTCGTGGTTCGTGATGCCCTGGCACACGTCGCATTTGACGACAGCATCACGGTGCTAATGCCATAATAGATGGGTTCATCGACAACTTGCCCAACACGCGGGAATATTCCAGACCTTTTCATCAGTAGACTGCGAAACCAATTACAATCAGCTGCGTCGACGAACTTACATATTATTGGAACATGGTCAGATGAAACACGATTGATGTATACTGGCTTATGTTACGAACGCCGGTGTACACTTGGCTGTGCGACGTTTAACACGCCTTGCAAAACTTCTACCGGGTGGTACTAGGGTGCTATAGATTGCAGATAATTTACCTGCTCGATGAAAACCCAATCTTTCTGCTACATTTTTCGAGCCGGATCGATATGTGATGGTCCCGGGGCCCGAAAACCGGCGAAAACGCCTGGTGTGGAAACACTGCAGCGCCTTGGTCTGAGGGTTCCCGCTTGCTTCATGGCGATCTTCACCCGATCTCGTCCTCCAGGCGCCCAGCCGGCACCCCTCCGAGCAGCGCCACGAGCCGGTGCAGCGGCAAGAGCGCCTCGTCGGCCGCCGTCGACGGACAGGGCGATGGCGAGTGGGGGGCGGAAGGGGTCCAAACATGCTCGCGTCATAAAAATTAAGAATCATGGCAGGCGATTTGTTTGGCCAACTTCGGCCTCTGGGAACCCTCGCCTGGCCCGGAGCCAATCAAAACAGGAACCGGGATGAAAAACTGGCACTCGGAGCAAGGTCGGGATTTCTGGCGAGGGCGGGAGGGGGGCTGAGGGGAAGAGAATGTTGTAGGCAACTCCTGGGTGGTATTCACAAAACAATTGAAATCTATGGGGCCACTGAACTGAGTCGGGCGAGCCCAAATGAAACCCAATATTGAGCCTGACTAAGCGAGGTTGAACGGAGCTAAACAGGACCATGCCAGACTAGGCATGTTTCCGACTACGGATCTACCAGCGAGGATGCTGAATCAACCCGCCCAGGGGTTGCATCCTAAGTAAGGGAGAGGGCTCGGAGGATACAACAGACGGCACAAACACAATCTGTCGGAGCTCCGCGCGAGTCTGCCTTAGTGGGTCGGTGCGCGACGATTCCAAGCCAGGCCTGCGGCGCTGCGCCTGGCACGCCAGGGGGAGGGAAGGCCCCAGCGCCGACCCAGAGAAGCCAGCACGGACGTCCGAGAGTTAATTATGATGTTTCTGTTGCCTCTCTGGGGGAGGGAGAGGAGGAGGAGTCGGAGGAAGAGGATGAGAAGAACTTATTGTCATGGGCTAGATCGGAGGAGGAGGAGGAGGAGGAGGAGGTGGAGGTGAATGAGGAGGAGGAGGCAAGGAGGCAAGGAGGAAGAGTAGGAGGCGGAGGAGAAGGACGCCGACGACGACGACGACGACGGCGGCGACAACGACAGCGACAACGACGAAACAACGACGACGAATAAGACGACGACGACGATGGCGACGCCGACGCCATCGGCAACGACGCCGACAACGACGAGACGACAACGAGACGACGCCGAAAACGACGACGAACTAGGGGGACAAAAAGGTAGTTATCGTTATCACGGGGTGTGCTCTGACCAGGATTCCGAAGCGAATCCAGCCGTGGCGACGAGGGGAAGGTAGAGGTATCGGTATCTCTTCCTTCTCCGAGAGGACCACGACGACGGCGACGACGACGACGATGACGCCGACGATGGCGACGCCGATGCCAACGACAACGACGCCGACGCCGACAACGACAAGACGACGACGCGACGACGACGAACTGGGGGGACAAAAAGGTACTGATACCACGGGGTGTGCTCTGAGCAGATTTCCGAGGCGAATCCAGCCGTGGCGACGAGGGAAAAGGTAGCGATATCGGTACCTCTTCCTCCCCTGAAGGACGACTACGACCGCGACGGCGACGACAACGACGACGACGCCAACGACGACGACGACGACAGCGACGACAACGACGACGACGCCGACGACTTCGACGACGACGACGAGGGCGCCGGGCTGTCGCTCACGGCCATGTACAGAGGAGCGACACAAACATCAACATATATTATCAGAGGTCCGCCTGGATTTCTTGGATCGGCGCTGGGCCGCCGCGCGAGCCGACAAGCGCCGACACGCGCCCACCCACGCTTAGAGGCCACTCGTGTATTCCAAAAGCCCAGATAGCAATGCAATTGAAACCCGCACACCCCGCGGAGCCGCGCTTGCACGTCCCTCCCCTTGCGGCGCCTCCAGCGCCGCCCCTGGCGCTCTCTGCTCGCTTGAGCGGGGGGCCCGTGTGTGGGCCCAGCGCTGATCCAAGAAAACTGCGCGGTCCTCAGAAGAATTACGTTTACGGCAGGTTCGCGTCGTGCCCACCCTAGCGTTCAACATAGACCGATTCTGGATTGCAGGCGGCGATCAACGTTGAACGCCGGCGGCGGGGTCGCCGCTGGTCGACACGACGCGAAGCTACCGTGGCGACACTCAAGCCTTACTCCCACCAACCATCGGACCTCCTGCATCGATAGGAGGCAGGGGTAAGAGCCAGACTTCGCCAGGTGTTCGACGAATTCTGAATCCTACCCCCGCCGCGTATCGACTTGCCTGCATCGTGGATCGGCGAGGGTAGGGTTTGAACTTCCTCGCCGATAACTATGTTGATGCCGTTCTGTTGCTCCTCTTATATACGCGCGCAGCACGCGCTCGGGGCCCAGGCCTGGAGGGGAAGAAGGAAACAAGGGGGCCATTCAGAAGACTGCACGCAGAATTGTCGTAGCGATATTGGTCACACTCTGCGGCAACACATGAGAGCCTCACATACCATCTTCTTGGCTCTTGCGAATCGACGTTCGTCGACGCTGATGAACGCTAAATCGACGACAATCGGCGCCAATCGACGCTAAATCGGAGCTATCCCATGGATTACTAGACTCTGGTCGACGATAACGTACTCCAAAGACTGAGTTGCAATTGTACACGCGGCTCCCACTCCCTGCTAATGAAATCACCGTCCATCTTGGTCGACGTCTAATCGTGGATCATCCTCGCGAATCGGTGACGGCTGGCATGGACCATGACCAAGATCGGCTTCGACAAGATCCCTTGACATCTTGTTCATGGTCAGCGTTTTGAGGCGGCGAGGGAGTCTCAGCTCGTTGGATCCCGGGAAATGCCGTCAAAATGACAGGGATGAAAGCACATGTGGTCAGAATCGGTCCCCGACCCCTCGCAGGGTCCATCTGGTGCAGCTTCTCGCCCAGGATCCGATTTTGATCGGCCCGGGGCCCCAAAACGGCCCCGGGAGGCTGAATATGGCAAAATACCTTCCGGGCCCAAGCACCTCAAACCTCGCCCCCCCCTTCCTGCCGGCCGGAACCAATGCTGCCATGCGCCGCCTCAGGCCCCCAGACGGTTCCAACGTGGACCATGACCAAGATCAGCGGCGGCAAGATCCCACTACGTACTACACGGACCTCTCCGGGGGTGCGTTCTGACCAGAGTTTCGGGGCGAATCCTGGTGTGGCGGCGAGGACCTCCAAGGAGGCCCAGAAACGAGAAAACGAGGCAAGGGTAGTAGTACCAGTACCTTTTCCTTCTCTGCGTCAGGGATGGGGATAGGGATCGACAGGTTCAGCGGTACTGACTGGCGGCGCGCCCAAGGGGGTATGGGGGGGAGAGGGGAAGGCTTCTTAGCGGGGGGGGTTCTAAGAAGGCGCAAGCCCCACATCTATAGATAAAGCCTGCGCCTTCTAAAAAGCAGGGGTGCTTCTAAGAAATCTTCCCCTCTCCCGCTACCCCCCTCTGCGCGTGGCTGAGCATGTCAGGGGCGGGGATACAGTTGGACCTAGGCCAGAAGAACATCCGTCAAGAGCATGAGACCCTCCGCCGGCCAAAACAGACAGAACATCTGAGGGTACCCTCCCCAGGATGCACAAGAACATCCAACAAACACGAAGAACACTAGGGCACCCTTCCCGAAGCGACCTCGATCATAGACCTCGGTCCGACGGACGCCTGGTGGTTCTTCGGTCATAATTCGGCTCTCCGGTGGCCGTTCAGGACAATCCAGGCCCCCCAGAACGCCCTCGGCGAGGCGAAGCTGCTGGAGCGCATCCCGAGGCTGGAAAACCGCCGAGAACCGACGACGACGCGCGAAAACCTCGACGCCTGGCTCGGCAATACTGAAGCGTGTTCAGAAGAAGAAACGCCATAAACATAAACTTGTGGCGCTCCGCGCGCGGAGCGCGCCAGGGGCGGCACCAGAGGCGCCGCCCGGGTCCCAGCGCGGATCAAAAAAAAACCGCACGGAGCGACAACACTGTTTGGTCATGCCGCTTTTTCTTCTTCGAAAAATTCTCGACGCCCAGCCTAGCGATACGCGCTGAAGCGTGTTCCTTCCCTCGAGGGCCGGCGCGCTCCGCCAGGCACGCGTACAGCAACACCCCCGCGGCCCCAGGGCGGTACGCCCCGCTCTCGGCCGCCCGGCGCATGCCTTCCTGCGCGGGGGCGGGGCAAGCCCACGCCCTCCCCACCCCTAAGAAATGTTCCCCCCCCCCCCCTTCCCTTCCTCTCTCCTGCCTCCCCCCTCCTCCTTCCTCCTTCCTGGCTTCCTCCCTCCTCCCTCTCTTCCCTGCTTCCTCCTGCCTCCTTCTTACCTTCTCTCCTTCCTCCTTCCCCCCGCGAACCGAGCACGCGATGCGCCAAGCCGTCGTCGAGCATAGAGCCTTCCTCCCCTTCTTGTTCCTTCCGTCCTTCCTTCCCTGCTTGCCTCCTTGCTCCCTTCCTGCCTCCTCACTTCTTCCGTCCTTCCTCCCTCCTGCCTCCTCCCTGGTTCCTCCTCCCTCCTTCCTCGGTCCTCCTTCTTCTTTCCTCCTCCCTCCTTCCTCCTGCCTCCGCCCCGCCCGGCGCATACCCTCCCGCGCAGGGCGGGGCGAGCCGTTGAATGCTCGAACACTTAGCGCTGGAGCGTCGATGGCGGACGACGACGACGACGACGACCTGAACGACGACGATGACCTGAACGACGCTGACGACGACGATGACGACGACGACGCTGTGACGACGACGACGCTGACGCTCTGGAGCCTGAAACTCCTCTCAGGGAGGGGTGCTCCCCCCTTGGGAGGCCACAGCCCCTGGGAGACCGGGCGGGGCGAACCGAGGAGGGCTTGGCGACTCCGCGCTGGAACGTCCACGATATGCTTCCAGAATTTCCTGTAACCCACAGATCCTGGCGCCGATTCGTTTGCGAGCGTTCTCTTATTCGGCGTTCCGCCATTGAGCGAAGGGAGGGGGGGATGGGGGGGGTCTGGCTCTGGACCTCTGCTTAATGCGACTGTTTGCGGCAGCGCGTCCTATGGAGGAGGCTCCGCCTGCCTGAAACAGGCGCCAAAAACAGCCAATATCTACTCCACGGGGTGGGGGGGAGGGGGGTCCGAGGGCCCGCGCCGATCGGCAAAACAATGAATAAGACAACGATCACTAACAACGGGGGATGATGCCTTGTTTCGAGCCCTGGGGCTTTCGCATATCAATCCGGCTCGAAAAGTGGTGCAGAAGGCTGGGGTCTCTAGCGCTCTGGTCGTCCTCTTGCTGCGATGTTTCACTTTGCGCAACGTCGGATCTCGGGATCTCTGGACCAAGACATGCAACGTTCCTGGGGGTCTGTGCTCCGAGGTGCTATCGGGCAGGCCGTTCCCTCATCCCCTTGCTCTCCACCTTCCACACCTTCCGACCAGCAGGTGGCCGATTGAGCAACCCTCTCGAGGGCAACAAATTACATCAGCATACAAGTTCGGATCTCCGCACGAATTTCACGCGTCTGCGCTTAGGCTTGGTGGCGCCTCCGGCGCTGCCTCTGGCGCGCTGAGCGCGCCAGGGAGGGGGGTCCAGCGCAGGGCCAAGAAATCTGCGCGGAGCTCCGAAAGTATGTTGATGCTTTTTGTCCCTCGGGAAGATCACCAAACCAGCCACCTGCTGGTCAGATGGTGTGGAAGGTGGAGCGTCAGGGCTGGAGGTCTCTGGACCCACACACGCAACATCCGGAAAAAATATAGACGGAGGTCATCTCAATGTTCAGCCTATGGAGCCCTTACCAAGCTACGTGGCCGTTCCAAGACGAGTCGGGATGAAAAACCGGCACTGTGGAAAGGGTCGGCGCTTTCGGGGACCGCGCATCAGCTGGAGAAAAATCAGGATACTCGCCATCGCTCGGACGTCCATTCCCGGTGCACTTTTCGGCTTCGTGCGTGTACCTTTCTCGCAAAATGACCGAAAATGCTCCTCGAAGACCATCGCCGAGAAAGAACGCAGACGTCCCAGCGATGCCAAGGACATCGCACGTCAGGGGAGTTCACCTCGACTGCTCTGGTCGTCAGGCGCTCAGGGAGCGAAAGGAGGAGGGGTCGGTACACGGGCGGTCAGTGAATCGGCTCCACGAGGGACGCATGCAGCGACCCAGACATCCGGCGCTCCAATTTTTCCGCTGCGTGGAAGCCGAAAAGGTCTGGACACCTTCTCCAGGAGCAGGTGCCTCGTCCTGAGTACCCAGGGCCCGCTGAGGGCCCCCGGAGGTCGAAACAAGCCTCAAACCGGAGCGCAACAAGCGGCCGAACGCAACCGACCGAGCGCGGCCGACTGCGAGGCAGCCGAAACGACGGCACCGCGGGCACCCCAGGCATTCGGACACCAGCGCACCAGGAGAGCGGCGCCGGGGACGCATGCCCAGGGAGATGCGGGGTGCGGGGGGTCCAGGCGCCCACCCGTCCGACAGCGCTCTCCCCCTGTGTGATACGCCCGTTGCAGTGGGGGACGCGGCCGCAAGAAACCTGCGCACGCAAGCCATCCATGAAAATCCAAGAAATTTCTTACCTAGGGTCTGGCTTTCTTAGCCAAGGACTCCAGTCGGAGGAACCCAAAGTACCCTGGCCGGATCGGGAAATGCGCGAGGTGCGATTGGGTGCCCTGGGGGCATCAGCATCTTAACGATCTGGGGGAGTCACCGAGCGTCGCTGGGAACGAAACAACCAAGGGCACCTTGATAAACAAAAACTCGCAGATTCTTGGTGCGCGTCCCCAGTGTAGATGCTCGTTCTAGGGACCTTCCTGCAGCTGTTTGCTCCACTCATGCAAAGGTCGATGCTGCGTCGAACGCCCGTCGACTGTGAGCCAAAATTGAGCCGAGCTTGAGTCGAGCTGGGGGTCGAGCAGGTCCGTTACTCAGGTGGTCACGAAGGTCCCCCCAACGAGCATCTAACGTCTGGCCCGCCCCCCATCTCCAGCAGCTCCCCGGCCCACTCCGGACCGCGCCTCCTCGGAAAATCAAAACGGCGCCGATACCGCTACTCCCCAGACCCTTGCAGAACTACGTCCGGAACAAGATGTCGAAAATAATCCAGCCGTGGCGACGAGAGATCTCCAGGACGAGCAGCGGCATCAGCATCTTCTCCTCCTCTGGAGGCAGGGGTAGCCCCACAGGTCCCGATGCTTTGCCTGGGGTAATTTCTCGTACTGGATGTATTTCTGATCATGATGGGCCCGATTGCGGGCCCTGGCGGCCGACATCGATGAAAGAGGACGCCTGGAATGAAACAACTACCCTTGATCCAGGAACTGAAGAGCTGCATGGTAAACCTGAGGTCCGCGTGGAAGCGGCGCTGGGCCTCCTCCCAGGCGCGCGGAGCGCGCCAGGGGCGGCGCCAGAGGCGCCGCCTTGGGTCCCAGCGCCGATCCGAGAATTCCGCGTGAAGCTCCGAAAGTTTATGTTTGCTGTTTTGTCTTCGTCGAGAGCCCAGGGCTCGCTAGGGACTGGTTTCCCTCCAAAGCGACCGAGCGACCGAAACCCTGCTGAACCCTCCCGCAATCCTTTGAAGAGCCTCTGAGAACCCTTCGGGGAAAATTTACACAAAATGTCGGCCAGGTCTCGGTCGTTTTGGGGAAAATCTGTCCTGAGCGAACCCTGGATTTTCTAATTTTGTCCTGCTCCTTGAGGAGGCCGGGATACGCCTGGATTGGAACAGATTTACTTTATTTGAACACGGACCGACCGTCCCAGAATTCCTACATGCCTAGCACGAAATTTCCATATATAGAATGAAAAAGCGATCTAGGAGCTGACGATGATCTTGGAACACCGAACCGATATCTCAAAACCAAACTGTTTCAGCTAGAACAGTCCACAACAAAGTGTGATAATGGTTTGGATTGGGCCTATTGGTAAGCCAGGACGCCTCGGAACTGCCTGCTGTATCAGCCCTTGGAGAACCTTCGACTTTCTACGTCAAGCGCGTGTCGTGACGACTTGCGCGATGATTCCCAACACCGCGTCGATCGTTCTATATTGGCCGATGCTAGGGCTCCGACGGCGTTCAACCTTGGACTCCCGCGGCCAGGTCGCCGCCGTAGCAGCGCGAACATTCCGTAACTTCTGGGGGAACCAGAAGGTGCCGATACCCCCTGCTCCCTGGACCTCTCCCGGGGTGCGCGCTGACCAGGAATCCGAGGCGACTCCAGCGGTGGCGACGAGGGCCTCCCAGGAGGCCCAGAAACTGGAGAAAACGAGGCAAGGATACCGGTGTGGGTACCTTTCCAGACATCCGCCGAGATAATTGTTGAATCCGCGGTCCCAAAGGTCCCGACCCATTCCCCAGGAGGGGATGTTCGTCCTGGATCCATTTTTCATGGTCCGCGGCCCCGACACCAGGCCCAAGAGGCCGAAATCCAAGAAAAAACGCCAAACTGGAAAAAGGCATCTCTTCGGATCCCCTGGGTTTTCCTCCTCGTAAGTTTGCCATCGCTCGGACGTCCATTCCCCGTGCATTTTCTGGTTTCGTGCATCTCTTCCCGAGATGCTCCAGGATGCTCCTCGATAGTGCTCGCCTTGAGTCGGGCGTGTCCCCCTACAGGGGGATTTTCCACGAAAACAAATACCCCGAAAATGCCCCCCAAAGGTTAAAAAATACCCCCAAAATAGTCCCCAGACTATATTTTTGACTATTTTTTGACTATCTTGGGGATATATTTTATTTTTCGTCGGACCGACTTATGCTCGCCGGAAAAAAATGCCCAGTTTAAACCCTGCTCCTCGGGGAGGCCCGAGCCGCCGCGCGCGCGGCGCCCTCGCGGTCCACGGCGGTCGCCAGCGCCCCGACGAGGCCCGGCCGCCGCGGCGCCCCGAGGCCCGCCGCCGGGACCGCGCCCGGCAGCGGGAAGCTGCGGCGGCGGTGCTCGCCGAGCACGCGCGCGCCCGCGGCCGCCGCGGAGGCCAGGAAGGCCTCGAACGCGACGACGACGACGACGATCAACGGCGATCGACAACGATCGACGACGACGACGACGATCGACGCCGACCGACGACGATCACCGACGATCGACGACGAGTGACGACGACGACGACGCTCAGAGATCGACGACGACGACGATCGACGACGATCGACGACGACGACGACGAGGATCGACGATCGACGACAGTCGACGAAGACGACGACCACGACAACGCTCGACAACGACTACAACGACGAACGACGACGACAATCGACAACGGCCAACGGCCATCGACGAAAATCGACGTCGACGATCGACGACGATCAGCAACGACGACGGCGAGTATCGACGGCGACGACGATCGACGACGACGACGACGAGGATTGACGACAACTACAACCGACGACAATCACGATCGATGACGATCGACGACGACAACGACCGACTACGATCGACGACGATCAACGACGATCGACGACGACGGGCGACAACGAAGACGACGACGATCGACGACGATTGACGAAGACGGCGACGACGATGACCGACGATCGACGGCGATCGACGACGACGACGAGGATCGACGATCGACGACGACGATCGACAATGATCAACGACGATCAACGTAGACTATCAACGCGGACGATGACCGACGACGATCGACGAAGACGACGACCGACGACGACGAAGAAGATCGACGACGATGGACGACGATCGACGACAAGCGCCGACCATGACAACGACAATCCGCAGAGGTCGACGACAACGACGATGGGCGATGACGACGATCGACGACGATCAGCGACGACGACAACGAGGACGACGGTCGCCGACAATCGACGACAATCGACGATGAGGATCGACAATAACCAACGACCATCGGCGACGATCGACATCGACGATCGACGACGATCTACGTCGATCGACGACGATCAATCTCGATCGACGGCGATCGACGACGATCGGCGACGATCGACGACGATCACCGACGCCGACGACGATCGATGACGACGACAACGATCGACGACGACCACCGACGATCGACGACGAACACGACGACGATCGACGACTATCGACAACGACGAGCGACGTCGACAACGACGACGCTGACGACGATAACGACGACGCTCGACGATCGACGGCGACCACGGACGGCGACTGACGACGACTGGCGACGACGACGACAAGGACCGACGATCGATGACAACCGACGCCGATCAACGACGATCGACGACGACAACGATCGACGAGGATCGACGATTACGACCGACGATCGGCAACGATCGTCGACAATCGACGACGAAAACGATCGACGACGATCACCTAAGTACGATCGACGACGATCGACGAAAACGACGACGACGACGGCGACGATCGACGACAATCGACGACGATCGGCGCGGATCGACTAACGACGATTGCCAACGACGACGACAACCGAAGACAATCGTCGACGACGACGATCGACAATCGACGGTGGTCGACGTTTATCGACGGCGATCGATCGACGACGACGGCCGACAGTGCTGAACAACAACTGACGACAATCAACGCCGACGATGAACGATCGACGACGACGACGATCGACGACCACCACCGACGATCGACGACGACCACGAGGACGATCGACGACTAACGACAACGACGAGCGACGTCGACAACAACGACGCTGACGACGATAACGACGACACTCGACGGCGACCACGGACGACGACGACGACGATTGACGACGACTGGCGACGACGGCGACAAGGACCGACGATCGATGACGCTCGACGACGCCGACGACGATCGACGACGATCGACGAAGACCACGATCGACGGCGACCGACGATTACGACCGACGATCGGCAACGATCGTCGACAATCGACGATTATCGACGACGACAACGATCGACGACGATCGCCTAAGTACGATCGACAAAAACGACGACAACGACGGCGACGATCGGCGACGATCGACGACGATCGGCACGGATCGACTAACGACGATCGCCAACGACGACGACCATCGACGACAATCGTCGACGACGATGACGATCGACAATCGACGGTGGTCGACGTTTATCGACGACGATCAGCGAAAATCGACGACGACGACAACGATCGACGATGATCGACGACGATGGCCGACAGTGATGAACGACCATTGACGACGATCGACGCCGACGATCGACGATAGACGGCGATCGACGACAATCGCAGATCGACGACGACGATCGACGACGATCGACGACGACGATCGACGATCGACGACGACGACGATCCACGACGATCGACGACGACGACAATCGACGATCGACGACAATCGACGACGACGACGATCGACGATCGACGACAATCGACGACAATCGACGACGAAGACGATCGACGAGGATCGACGACGACAACGACCGACGACGACCGACAACGACGATCGGCACTTGACAACGGCCAACGATGACGATCAACGACGACGGCGATAGACGACGACCGGCGGCGACCGGCGACGATCAACGACGACGACGGCGACGATCAACAACAATCGACGACGACAACGGCGATCGACGACGATCGACAACAACGACGATCGACGACGACGTACGACGATCGCTAAGGATCAACGATCATCGACGACAACCGACGTCGACGACGACGGCGAGTGACAACGAACGACGACGATCGACCACGACCGACGATGATCGCCAACGATTGGCGACGACGCCGACGATTGAAGACCATCGACGACCGACTACGATCGACGACGACAAAGAGGATCGACGACCGACGTTCGGTGAAGACAACGACGACGACGATCGACGGCGACCGCCAGCGATTGACGACGATCGACGACAAAGACACGATGACGATCAACGACGATCGGCGACGACGACGACGATCCACGATCGACGACGGCCACGGCGACCAACAACGACGACGATGATCGGCGAGGAATGACGACAAAGACGACGATCGACGACAATCGGCGAGCACGACGGTCAACAAGGACCGACGACGACGACGATCGGCGACGATCGGCGACGATCGCTGACGATCGGCGAAACGACGACGACGACGTTCAACGATGACGCCCATCGACGGCCAAGACGATGATCGGCGATGACCGACGACGGCAACGACGACGACCGACTAAAATATGCGACGTTCGATGACGACGACGATCGGCGACAATCGAGGACGACGACGATCGAAGATCCACGACGACGACGATCGACGCCCGCGACGACGACTGACGACGAGCGACGGCGACGACGACCGACAACGAAGCTCCGCGATAGACGGCAACCGACGACGACAACAACCATCGACGATGATCGACGACGACGACGACGATCGTTAAAGGAGCGACAATGATCAACGACCATCGACGACGATCGACGTCGACGGCGACGACGATCGACGACGGTCGACGACAACCGAAAACGATCGACGATGACGGCGATGACGATCGACGACAATCGACGACAATCAACAATGACCGAGATGACGATCGACGACAATCGACGACGATGGCAACGATCGACGATGATCGACCGCGACGATGATCGACGACGGATAACCATGACCGAGGACGTCGCCGACGACGATCGACGACGATCGATGATCGACTACGATGGATGACGACCGACCGCAATCGGCGACGACGATCGCTGATGGCCGATGGCGATCAACAAAGCCCAACGACGGTCGACAACGACGACGACGACGATCCATGATAAGCGTCGACGGTTGACGACGATCGACGACGACGAGCAACAACGACGACCAACGACGATCGACGGACGAATATCGACGGAGACAGACGTCGATCGACAACGACGACGACGATTGACGACGACGACGCAGACCGAGGAGGATCGACGACGGTCGACGATGATCGGCGACCATCATCGATGATCGACGGCCAAGCCCGACGATGATCGACGAAAACAGACGCAAATCACCGACGATCGACGACGGTCGACGATCGACGACGACGACGGTCGACGGCGATCTACGGCGACCGAGGACGAACGACAACAATCGACGACGATCAACGATCGACGACGACCGACGACGATCGACAACGCTCCGCGACGATCGACGAGGACCGATGACGACGACGACGATCGACGATAGCGACGACGACAATCGATGACGACCCGAAGTCGTCCACGATCGACGACGACGAGGATCGACGACGATTGACGATGGTCGACCAAGATCGACGGCGACGACGACGATCGGTGACGATCGACAATGATCAACGACAACGGACGACGACCAAGGTCGACGACGACGACGGTCGACGGCGATCGCGACGATCAACTATCGACGACGGGCGACGGCGATCGACACCGACCAGCGACAACGACGACGATCGTCGACGAACGACGACCATCGACGGTGATCGACGACGATCGACGGCGACGGCGATCGACGAAGATCAACGACGACAATCGAGGACGATCGACGTGGTCAACGATCGATAACGAGAACGACCGACGGTGATCGACGAAGACCTACGACAACGACGATCAACGACAATCGATGACGATCGACAGTCAGAATCGACGATCGACGATGACCATCCATCAAGGTCGGCAGCGATCGACGACAATTGACAACCATCTACAAGGATCGACGACCCTCGGCGACGATCGACGATGACCGATGACGGTCGACGACGACGGCGACCGATGATCTACGACGAAAACAAATGATGATCGACGGCGATCAACGATCGGACGATGAGCGACGACAACCGACGACGGTCGGCGATGATCGGCAACCATCGTCGATGACCGTCGACGACGACGACCGACGAAGACCGAGGACGATCGACGAGGATCGACGACGACGCTGACG